TGGCCTCAAAGAGAACCAAATCAGCAGGCTTGAACTGCAGAGGCCCACAGATGAGCACATCAGGTCTGTCCAGCCCTTTGTGATCAATAACCCATTTACTGTGGCTTTAGAATCATCAGTGGGTTCAGGAAAACATAATTCCATTTTTAAAAGTCCTCTTTGCAAGGAAATGTAGTGGCAACTGCACGAGCAAATTGGGAATGATTCCCCAGCGTGCTAGGAACAAGACAGAAGCCTCTCACTCCTACAAGCTTTCTCCTTTATTCAAGATATGTACTAGTGTGACTTAAAGTCAGAAGAGAAAGGTGATCAGGATTTGTTCCTATTTATGCATCTTGGTGCCCTCTCTACTACTGACCTGCCGTCAGCTGTGTAAATCAGCCTAATCAGCAGGTAGCCCCCAGGCTGGATAAGGCACATGAGATAGCTTTCACATCTGTATGATTTCCACCTACACAGAGAAGCACTAGCAGGTACCAAATGCATTTCAGTACTTTCATGCACATTCAGAAATGTAGCCATCAAGGTACATGCATCCCAGTGCACCAAGCAGCTGGGATTACCCCAATATATCTCTTTGATACCAGCTGACCTGTAGCTGCATTTTGCATGTACCAAATTGATGCAAAGGGTTAGGGAGGGAGAATATCAAAAGATAATAAAGGTAATAAGATAATAAGGTAATAAAGTGCAAAATGCAGAGAGCCTTCAGCTTGAGCTTGTGCAGTTTTACAATGCAGCTATACAGGTGAGGGTGAAATCACAGAATGTCTTGGGTTGGAAGGGACTGTAAAGATCATCTAGTTCCAACCCCTCTGCCATAGGCAGACCATAGGCAGAAGGGACACCTTCCCACTAAAACAGGTTGCTCAAAGCCCCATCATACCTGGCCTTGGATAGATTTGCAAGACACCAAATTCAGGATTCAGAAGACAGGGAGCATAAAGGAAAACAGAGCAGGAGTGGAGATAAAAATCTCTTATACTTCTTTTGCATTTAAAAAAGTAAGGGGAAGAAAAGGAAAATCTATATACCAGTAACAAACAAGACAATGCCAGGCTTTCTGATACCATCTATATTTTATAGAACACAAACAATTAAGCTTAAAAGGATAATCTTGTACATCGCTTAGCCTGAAGTTGTACTGCATGTGTCAGCAAATGCCGCTTCCCCAGCGACTTGACAGTACATGTGGCCACTAGT